AGGCCTGTTGATGTAGCAACGTCTGTTGATGTAGCAAGGCCTGTTGATGTAGTAGCAAGGTCTGTTGATGTAGCAAGGTTTGTTGGTGTACCAACGTCTGTTGATGTAGCATGGTCTGTTGATGTATTCGCACATGCTAATAACGTTGAGGTGTTGTACTTTGGTTTCTGACATTCATAGAAGATTATTTTTATTAGACAAGACTTATCCCAAGTTTAAAGAATTTCGTAAAAAATTTAAGAAGATAGATTGTGTAAAACAAAACAAAAATAGCACACACACATAAAACATATTTTGAGACAAATAGCTGTAAATCTATTTAGAATGACTTGATACTAACGAATCATAGGAAAATTAAACTACCTAGTGATAAATCGTGTGGTATAAATAGAATTATAAATGAACTTGTCAAAATACGTCACGTGGACTCTCACCTTTTTTAATGTATATCTGTTAAGCATTATATAAGAAATGGGTATTTTACCAGACTCTTGAATCGGAGTAGTTAAACCCTATTTATAAAAACAAAGGTGATCCGGCAAACTTGATCATCTTGGAGGTATTACACAGATATCGTCCCTTGATAAGGTTTGCAACCGATTAAACTTTATTTACTTTACAACAATTGCGAAGCATTATATTAATCACTCTTGTTGGCCCTGATGGAAGCGCGCGAGTTTCCGGGGAAAATCCACGTGGTCGGGCAGGTGACCCCATACCTTTTCACATCCATTCCGGGAATCGAACCCCGGACAGCTAGGTGAAAGGCGAGAGCGTTACCACTACACCAACCGACGACCAGATTGAACCGATTGAATAATCCAACAGAGTGAAAACAATTGATTAAATATAATTGCCCAATGCGATTTTAGAAATGATCACTCAGAGAATTAAACAGATAATATATCTTACATGTACTAATAAGTTTATGTCTATCGGGTGAAAACTATACTGTGCTTTGGTCGATCTTAAGAAGCTTGATTCAGTCTCGGGATATGACCTCTGGTCAAAAGTCTAAATCATTAATAAAATTGGAAATAATTCAATGTAATTCATTACATATATAAAGATACAAAATTGTTTGTGAGGAATTGGCGAGAGATAAATATCCCCTTTTTATTTTCACTGTATCTTAATATCGTAAAAAATTGATACGTAAGTCTTCCTGTAGACCCGAAATTTAAGCTATTTGATGCTTTGGTACAACCAATATTGTGATATTCATTTGAAGTATGGGACTTTTTGAAAAAGGATACACCTTTTTTAAATGTATGCTGAACGTTAGGAGAAGCAGTACATCTTGTATGGTTTATGGGTAATCCTGAAAATTTCTGATTACTGACATATAATGAAAATAATTGATTGTCACTGGTAAAAGAAAACTATCAGGGATATTGTATGACCTGATATAAAGTTACCTTAAACCATTATTGGGAATTTAATTGGTTGAAGGTTGTAAAGTCATTTTCAAGTGAAACAGGCGTTAACTTGTATTGATAAACCGATGTGATAATCTACTAAATAGAACAGGATTGAAAGCTACTTTAGAGCAGAATCTCTGCAAGATCATTATATTCACAAACGATAAAGATCACACATCTAAAGAAAAAATGCTTATAAGAAAATTTTGGTTGTGAGCAGTATTTGATAAAAATCATTATAGAAAATAGAAATATTTCATGAAAATTCAGAACTTAAGCCAATTTCTGTTGAAGCAGAGATATGGTCAGACATAACGAGGAAATAGACGGAAATCTTTTTCTTATTTGTACGTAAAAACCCAGAGGTAAAAATAAATAGGAGAATATATATATATATAAATATGTATCAAATTACCATGTTATATAAGTAGGAATACTAGGCTGAGCGCTTTCCTTCCTTATTTGGAGAGACAACCTGGCTCTGACGACTGTTTCTTTCATCAGCTCTCCTGGTGTTGGAGTATTCAGCTCCCAAGAGGTAAGGTAATATAATAAAACTTTATATTAACGGAAGTATAACACTTCACAATAATCTGTTCAAATCTGTTAGCTATTTAATCTCTTGTTTCAAACATCGGAACGACTGGGTGCAATTTACAAATCTTGACAAATTGCTTTCTGTTATGTAAGAGATGTGAAGTGGTTTCCGTTGTCTATAATGACAACTCTATATTCAGGATACAAAAGTCTTCCTTACTATTGAAATATAGGAAAATGTTTCGGTAACCTTTACAATTTTGCGTGCAATTTAATTAAAACGAATCTCGCCGACATAAGAACAACACAATAGTTTTAAATTCTAAGCACTGTAGATTGCCAACAAGTTTTTTGATCTTGTCCTGACCAGTGTTGCGTACGGATTAAAAGTCAGGTCCCGTGTCAGATTGGTACAAAAAATAAGATTGGGAGACTAAAAGGTATAGAGATGAGTATGTTAACCAGTGTCTGAAATGACGGTAAGATGACGGACATTTTGGTGAACTTTCTATTGACCATATGTGCGGCCAGTGCATTTAGTTATACTGCTGGAAACTTGGCTCCTACGATACAACGCCCAATCTGTTGGACCGTGACCACGAGAATTCCGCTGCAGTGGGAGGAGTTTGTCAGCTTTGTTTACATGAGGTTTAAGGATATGGAACGTCTATTGACTGAAAAGGATAAACGCATTGATGAAATGGAGTCGGACATCACTAGTTAGGTGATTGAAATTAATTTCAAAATGATATAACGTCACTCGAACAAAAATTATTAAAAAGAAATGATGTTTCGACAAACTAGAGACCATGTTATCAGATTTACAGATAAAAGAACCGTTCGATGTCTTTTCAAGTGAACACAATTCACGACGAAATTCTAGATATCACTTTCCAGGAACCGAAAGTAACAAAGTTGATGATAACCTTGACGAAAGCCAAGGCTCTGGAGATAGTGAAGGTGAGATTACATCCGGGCACCTCTCCGTATCTAAATCTCCGAACCATCATAATGACAGTGTGTTTTCGATTTCCTTTTAACATTGATGTATAAAATTATGAAGACTGTCTTCTGAATCATTATGACTACGCCGATACTGTTGTACACAATAAGAAACCAGAGCATGAGAACTTCCGAAGGCAAGCTTCTCTGTATTCCAACATAAACGTGAGTGTACAGAAATACAGCAGGGATATCTAAAGTAATTCTTGTAAGTATATATTAATACTATATACTGTCTAATATGACCTTCATTTTCGTTAATATTTGACATATTTGCTTATTTTATATCTGGAAATTGTTGTATAAGTCGCAAAATCTTACTTATTGTACGTGAAGAGATAAACATCCTACCAAGATTGTGATTAGTTAAAAGTAAGAAATTTCCTTATCATGTGTTTATTACTTCACAGGTCCATTTTTGAGTTTGTATCATTCTTATATTGATATGTTGATGTTTTCTTGTTGTGTTTTAAAATCATTACACACAGAAATAAGCATCTACTAGTGTATTAGAAAAATAATATGGCGATGTCCTTTAAAATATGTTATCTTTCTACTGCTGTCCTCTACACGATTACGACTGTGTAACGCAATACAATAAATAAAAAAAATGAACACTGAAAATATTTTTGAAAGTTTTTTGAAGTTCGGCTACTGCACAAAAGTATGTTAAGAAATAATTCTGAATTGATAATTGGGTCTAGAGAGTCAGACAGTTGATCTATCTAGGAGAAGGAGTGTTTGAAATAATAGAAGAATGGGTTTAGCTACAATGTATACTAGGTTTTGTCTAGGTATCTTGTAGTTGTCCAGGTAGTCGTCCTAATCGATACCAGTATCATTTGTTTACTCCGATCAACACAACATGAACGCTTTGGTTACAAACAAGAACAAAGACAAAAATTAAATGATTGGATAAGTACACTTGTCTCTTTGTATTTCAAAATGTTATTGGTCGATTTTGAAATTTTCTAATTCATTTTCATATGTTTCTGTTCTCTAGTATCATAACATTGATGAGGACGAAACCGCAACGCGTTGCAGATTTTATTAAGTATTCAATTGATAAACTGCTCTTACTAAATTCAAATATTAAACAAACTTTTTTTTGTGGATATTTAAAACATCCCTGGTATGCCGATTCGGTGTGATATCATTTCACACACAATAGTCTTTTTGATACCAGGGAACAAACCATTAATTATTTCACATGGCATACGTGTTTGCTGAAACATAATTAATGAAATATATAAACGCAACTGATGGAAAGTCATGATTTGAATATTTTGGCATATTGTTATATAAAGACAGTATTGGTGTTAATAATGTAGAGAACAATGTTACTGTGTGTGGTATATGAAGCATTGGTAACGGCATAGCACTCGAAACAGAGGCTCAAGACTTGTTTAGTCAGGCAGCCACTTTTCGTTTCGTTATATATAAATTTCTGTTGTTTTCTATCTTGTTGTACAAATCTCTGTTGGTTTCGGTACGTACAAATCTGAGGTTTCGGTACGTGCAAATCTCTGTTGGTTTCGGTACGTACAAATCTCTGTTGGTTTCGATCCGTACAATTCTCTGTTGGTTTCGGTACGTGCAAATCTCTGTTGTTTTCGGTCCGTACAAATCTGTCTGTTGGTTTCGGTCCGTACAAATCTCTGTTGGTTTCGGTACGTACAAATCTCTGTTGGTTTCGGTCCGTACAAATCTCTGTTGGTTTCGGTATGTACAAATTTCTGTTGTTTTCGGTACGTCCAAATCTCCGTTGAAGTGTGTTCATTCAAGAATTAACCAAACGTCAGTTGTAGGATGTTTGAGTTTTGGTTCACATTAAAATCTATGCGCTACCTATGACTTTCCATATTGACAGATAAGGTCTCCTTATAAGGTTTCCTTATCTGTAGAATATTACTATACATGTTGAAGTCTTATGTGAAACTTGTATAAATGAAAGGATTATTGGTGTAAACACGTGTCAGCAGAGTGGGACTTTAAGAGAGGATGGCAAAGATGCTTATACATTTTTTCTTGACCGCCATCATGGCCTTTTCGTTCGGAAATACGGATAGAAACTGGCTTAGTCTTATCAACCCACCTGTAAAATGGCAGGCCTTTGACACAGGAAATCAAATACCACCATTACAGAACCTTGACCCCGATCAGTCACCTCAAAAATGGCTAGAACTTTTCACATTGATTTACCGTAAAATGGAAGGTATGGAACACCAGATGGTAAGAAAGAACGAACGCATTGACCAACTAGAGTTACACATCGCTCGTCAGATGACTACTATAAAGCGGCTAGAACAGGAGATGTTATCAATGAAGGATACGATGTTAGAGAAGGAAGTGACTACAAACGATATCGCTACGAGAGTATCAGACTTGGAAACGTTCCTAGCTCTCAATTCAAGTCCAGGGAACAGTGCATTTAAACAAACCTCTAAACCTTATCAGAATTCACGATACAGACTAGGTAAATTATCAGACTCCATATCTAGAGTTGTGAACATGTCTTCCTCACAAGCCCTTACTCTTCAGGCTTCCAATCCTCAAAATGACGGTATCATGCCGCCTAGATCTAAACAACATCTCCGGGATGAGGACAACCACCATCCCTATCAACCCGATGACCACAGTAATTATACAATCTCGGGAGATTTATTGAAATCAAGATTCAAACCAAAAGGTAAGTTGAGAATCTGAGAAACAAAATTCGAATATAGACAATAGAGATAAAGACTTATAGACTATCCATGGAGCCACTTGTCTGATTAGTTTTCCAATCTCATATAAAGTGGTAACAGATTAATCATTCTTTTCATCCCTTGAAGTTTCCATACATTGCAGAAAAGGTGTTTTTTCATTATTCTTGAAGCTATATCAAACTCTGGTCTTATTGTTATGTCATCTTATATAAGAATGTTTGATGCCATGTTATAATAAAACAATGTATGATGTCATATTATCATAAAACAATGTTTGATAAATTATAATATAACAATGCATGATGCCATATGATAATATAACAATGTTTGATGAATTATAATATAACAATATTTGTTGTCACTTTATCATAAAACAATGTCTGATTTAATTTCTTGTTTTATCTCACGACGACAAAGTAAGTAATGCTATAATATTTCGTAAATAAATATGTCATAAGGTTTATTGACTTCAAAAAAGGTTTATTTGACGCAAAGTTTAAATAACAGCACACGGAGCAGAGGTTCACGTTGCACAACAAATAAAACATTTGATTTGTTGTAATGGGAAACATTTCTTTGTTTCTCTGACGTTAAAGCGGCTAGTAAATAAATATGGAGAAGTCAAATAAGTTTTACATTTATACATATAGGTAGATATCAAAACATGGAACGAAATGAAAATATAACATTGGACTGTCGATTCGACACCTCTTCGTTATGTATGCTCAATACCAAACTGGTCCCACAATGTGCATTCACATATCACAAAAAATGTTCGAGGCTCGATTGCCCCAACGGACATGGAATGTTTGGTGGTCACCTGTCGACCATTTGGGTTTCTCCCAGGTACTCTGGTCTCCTCCCAAAGTAAGACTTTTCGCGCGCCTCGCTGTGGGTCAACAAGAGTGATAAACTTGTTTAGGTATTGTTGTAAAATCAATATTTAAATAACAAGTTTTCAGTATTGTTTAACTCTGAATCCATAGCTGAATGGAAACATATTTAAAAAAATATATCAAGAACGTATTTTCAGTTCATATTAAACATACAATGTATCTTGTATTGTAGGAGCCGCTTCGTTCTCTCTTCAGGAACCAGTTGCGTTTCATGTGTTTCTATCCAGGGACGCATGGGTTGTTAATGATGACGTAATAATGTACGACCAGGTGGCGCTAGATCAGGGGGACGGATACGTCCCGAGACTAGGAATCTACGTCGTCCCAGAGTCCGGTACATATGTCATCACTTGGACGATGTATTGTTACGGACAGGAACTTTTCCGGACTCTCCTTTTGTTGAATGGAGATGTTAAAGGATCCTCATGGACAGATTCGGAATTGTCCAAAGATATCCATCAAAGTTCCGCTCTCGTCGTCCTCACGCTGAACCAGGGAGACCATGTCTTTATCCGCATGGGACCCATCTTCGGAAACGCGACATTATTAAGTCGAAACGACGTAGCAGTGTCCACATTCTCCGGCTGGAAACTTGGCTGAACAATTGCGGAACATACCTTATATGATTTGGTTCGGATTCAATCATTGTCACCGCTAATTAAACATTTCTGATAACGAAGTGTTCCTTTACTAATAAGTTAAACTGGACAAAAGACTCGGCATCTTATCCCAGTAAGTATATTAACCAGTGTTTGATGAGTCTGTCAGGATGGTATAGAAGACTCACAAGTGAATAACACTTTTCGATATAAATTAAGAATTGAATACAGTGAAGCAATATAACTAATTAAAATACACCGTGCTGCTGCTGCTGCATGCTTCGTTCTGTAAGTACTTGTAAGTGATGCTAAGCGCCTAAATTTTGATACCAAGGAGGTGACTGAGGAAAACCAGAATTGGCCGAAAAAAGCAAAAACGTCAAAGTCTAGATTTGGAGGTGCACCAGCCCCATAACTAAATTAATTTCATAATTTTCATAAATTTGATCTGAAGGACGTCAATTAACAGTGTCAATCCTCAATGTCGCAAGCGGTTTACGGCGAACGCCCTGGATAAGATGTCAAACATCTAATTTTCAATAAAAGTTTAGAATTACTGTAGAGACAAATAATTTCACAACGAAGTTGTTGCTACCTCCAAGGAATAGTAAGTGATACTAAGAACTTCTTTTATTCAAGAGTGCCGACGAAATCAATAAAAATGGAAAAAAACACAACTCTGTGGAAGAAACTTTCAACTAGTATACTCACAATTTTGTTTAAAAATTTGTTTTTTGTTTGTTTGTTTCTTAACTTGTAACATTGCTTGATATTATGAAGAAAGTATTTGATTCGCATGAATTCGAAATAAGATTTGTGAATAAAGGGAAATAACTCTAAATAGTAAAACAAATTTTACCCTGTCGTTTAAGATAAGATGCCATGTCCACGAACAATTCAACCAAGGTATTTATACAAAATACTCAGTATTATAAACCAAGTAATGTATACATCATACTCAGTATTATAAACCAAGGTATCTATACATCATACTCAGTATTATAAACCAATGTATCTATACATCATACTCAGTATTATAAACCAAGTAATGTATACATCATACTCAGTATTATAAACCAAGGTATCTATACATCAAACTCAGTATTATAAACCAAGATATTTATACATCATACTCAGTATTATAAACCAAGTAATGTATACATCATACTCAGTATTATAAACCAAGGTATCATACATCAAACTCAGTATTATAAACCAAGATATTTATACATCATACTCAGTATTATAAACCAAGTAATGTATACATCATACTCAGTATTATAAACCAATGTATCTATACATCAAACTCAGTATTATAAACCAAGATATTTATACATCATACTCAGTGTTATAAACCAATGTATTTATACATCATACTCAGTATTATAAACCAAGATATTTATACATCATACTCAGTGTTATAAACCAATGTATTTATACATCATACTCAGTATTATAAACCAAGGTATTTATACATCATACTCAGTATTATAAACCAAGGTATTTATACATCATACTCAGTATTATAAACCAAGATATCTATACATCATACTCAGTATTATAAACCAAGATATTTATACATCATACTCAGTATTATAAACCAAGATATTTATACATCATACTCAGTATTATAAACCAATGTATTTATACATCATACTCAGTATTATAAACCGAGGTATTTATACATCATACTCAGTATTATAAACCATGCTGTTTATACATCATACTCAGTATTATAAAACCAAGGTATGTATACATCATACTCAGTGTTATAAATAACATTTTAACAGGCTGTAGTCTGTCAGTTTTATCGGATAGATGATTGGATGATGATAAAAGAGAGCTACCAATGGTTCATGGTAAATGATATATATAAATAGAGAATAAGTTTAACAATCAACAAATCACAGATGGTTGTTCTCTCCATCAAGGTTTCTTTAGATATGTTGTATTGAATACAGGAAGGAAGTTTAACGATTGGCCGAACCAAATAAAGACTGTGGAAGTACTACCTTATATTTAAATCGATGTCGTGGTTTCACTATTCAATACAAAATACATACAAGTGCATTGATATCGTTCAACACAAATACACTGATAAGTATCTTACAGCTGTTTCATCCTCCCTAAGTATGGAGCCCAAGGTGTGGAATTCTGGAGAGACTGAGAAAATCATTGGTGTGACAGTGTTAGGCAAGTTTACCTATTCTTTGTAAATTACATTTCATTGGAGCGTATTTTCAGCAATGATTTTTTTATTGTTTTTATTGTAAGTTCAGACGATGTTGGTTTAGCAGTGGTAGATATAATATAACAGTTGTTTCTTTATAATAAGACATAGAAGACCTAACATCCTTTAGGGGAACTTACATTCATTACTGATACAACAAGACCTATTCGATCAAACTTAAAACCATCTTATTATTCTGGTACAAACTATGCAATGTTTACTTACATTTTGCACCGATAGTAACTTTATCTAAACTAACAAAGAATATTAACCAGCGACTGATAAATTTATAAAGTGAACAATTTTGATGGTGAGCCGTCGTTGTTTAATGAGAAGAATATATAGTTATAATGACCTTGTAGTGAAGACGGGCTGGATGGCATTGGTCCTTCATTACTGTGTTGGTGTTTAGCATGGCATGGAAGTCATACTATAACAAATTGTTTAAAATTATTAATTATGTTTTCTTTAAACGGAACCAGCCAACTTCTAAGATTATTTCCCAAACTATTTCAAATTCCGAGTCAGTTTTATAATAAGAACCTGCGTTGATTTTTGATAGTTTACAATCCAAATTTGTTAGCGTAACAAAAAATCAAGAGAGTATCAACATGGCAATTTCACCTTTCGAATACTTGTTAAACGTGTGAATCTTTTATGTGTCTTGCCTTTGTTTCGTAGATATTGAGTTTTTTTTAATTAAGATTTTGTTTAATTTTTGTTTCCCCATGCATCTCTTGTGACCAACTACTTTTGGGCTGTCTATTGTGACGAACTGCTTTCGGGCTATCTATTGTGACCAACTGCTTGTGGGCTATCTATTGTGACGAACTGCTTTGTGGCTATCTATTGTGACCAACATTATTTCGATTGTAAGTAATTTCTTGAATAAGAAAAAACATAACCAAAATATGCAGAATAATTTCAACAGTTCGTGTACTGAGTGATGTAGAAGTTTCAGTATTGAATCACACAAGGTACATCTCAACAACAAAAAACTCAGAAACACAATTGGAATTCAACACGTGACATCGTTTAATTACTCACCAATCCAATTACTCGCCAAGGTTGTCAGCGATGTAATGGTTGAAGTGAAAAGGTGTGGCGACAGAAAGTGTAACAATATTAGATTTTGTCTTTAAAACAAACTGAGACAGCAATTGTGAAAAAAATAAGTAAACATATCACATTCTGTCGACATAAGACATCACATTCACCACAGACTTTCTCTATCACACTTTAATTAAGTATATTGAATTGATCGTTAAAATGACATTTAACTCAATATTTGTCATGTTAAGGTTAAATTAATTATTGTCCACACAGGCGAACGCCCTGTAAAATGTCGTAATATTATTAAACAACGCGTCAAGCGTTGTTTTAAGTGAATGATATATATGCACTGTAAACAAAAGGTAATCTGGTCTGTATCAGGAAACACTTAAGTATACATACTGCTCGCACAAATTATATCAGACATATCAATCATTTTATAATCAATATATCACTCAAAATGCCATTTTTGATTCCATGCATAACTCAACAAACATTTTTACATACAAAAACTTTGTATTTACATCCATATGGCATTGTTACAGTAATATAGCCTCCACATAAAGGTTGTGACCTCATTTATCATCATAATTCCTGACAGAACAAGGAAGCATTCACATCATTTCATGATAAACGCTAATTAAGTGGAATACTCAGGGTATTCATTTATCTCTAACAGAGCGCTAATGAATTCTTCTGTAGAAGTCAAACCCTCAGCGTTGAGTACGCAATCCGGCCATCCACATTACATGTCTATTATTTGGAGGAAAAGCCAATGGTTCAACATTGAAGACGAAGTCCGAACACCCACGTATGGGACAATTTATTGAAATATGTTATACCTCCTTGGTCTGGTGAATTATTACTGTCAAAATGACATATATTTAGGCAATACTGGTTTTATTATCACAATTTCAGCTTCTAACACTAAAGTAATCTCGCTCTGACAATCAGGTTCAAGTCTAGTTTTGACTTTCCTGATAAACTTGTATTCGTCCTCCACAGTTTTTCAGATTTATTCCATTAATACTGATTTCTTGTTAGAAAATGTTTGGATCAATGTCCAGAATTAAAGAACAATCTATAGTCAACCAATTCTGGTGATAGTCTTGGTTTCAATCCTGTCCATGGGAAGAATAATTCGGCTACGTTGATCCGTTGATGTCCCAAATGCAAATGAGTAGAGAACACATCAGTTTAAACAGCAGTCCTATATCACTAACATTCTAGGTTCTTGGTTACATCAAACTTGAGCCCCTAACGTTGAAACACTTTGAATCTCCATCACATTTTTTTCTTCTTTAAAGGTCACACGTTTATCAGGAGATGTTGCCTGCTTTTTTGACCCACCTTTATCAGTTTTCTTCCCTGGTGTCTTTGGTGGCGCAAGAGATTTTGCAGGTTTTTGCGAGTTCTGTGTTTTTGAAGCACCTTGTTTCTTGGCCTGGGCAGATATTGTACTGTCGTGAACTTTAGAAGACGGCTTATTTTCTGATCTAGGGGAGTATTTATCGTTATTTTTGTTTGGGTTTGGAGCCTCTCCCACATTGATTACCACACTCCTCTCTTTGTTTGTATTATTATTGGTCGGTTGTTGAGAGTTGGATTTTTTGGCTTTTGCTGACCAGACCTGAAGCATGCTTATACTATTCTTTTTAGGTCTATCTTTCTTTTTCATCTGTATGATGGCCAGTCGAGCCCGGATGAGTCCTTTGGTGTGGTCACTTATGTCACTGGCATCATCACGGAGCACGTGCCGATCGTAACACATGTCGGCTATTTTTGCGACCACGACGGAAATGATGATGGCGGCGATGACGATACAGACAGTTGCGATGAGTTTGATCGAAGCATCGTATGCTGATCCGGAAGAGCTAGACGAGGACGTCGTGTTGTTTCCTATAACAAAAATACAATACTGTTTTATCGTTCTTGCAACAATAAGGCAAATGGTACTAAAATAGATATTAAGCATAGGGTATTATATAACACACATTATTACTTCACAACGCTTAATGATGCAATGAACTAGAATGTACTAAACAGTCGATATAGATCTGGATGACAGATAAATCTACCGAAGTCATCTGATAACAGGTCATTGCTTACTATCATATATTCGTGTAATGTTTTTCTATCTAAAACAAAAAAAACTTTGCGTTTTAATTCCCCCCTTAGGCAAATACTGACATCAACAAGTTCAAATTCAAAAACAACAGATATGATTTAATCACTAAAATCGTAATATAGTTTTTAGTGTGTAGCGACATTCTTTAGAGATCCGATGATTTACTCGATTCGTTTAAGATAAAAATTGTACACACTGATATGTAATTAAGAGGTTACGTGGCTCTCAATCAGATTTCATAGAGACCCAACAGAAGTCTCTCCTGCAAACGGGGACAATGATTACAGGAAGGTTTGTTTGTAACAAGATTCCAAGCACTGACTGTCAGATCGACGTCTAGCAGTCAAGTTGACAAATTTGGTAATTTCGAATGTCATGACGCTAATGATGAATTAATCGGACTAAAGGAAATTTTGTCTTAACTTTTCATTAGCTGTAGCATATTTGGTAGTCTCTTAAGACATAAAAAAAAAACTTTGTCTGGTTCGTGCATGTTTGCATGCCGAAATTCTAAATGTATCAAAAGTTACCGTCTTACAATTTACAACACCCTTAAGTCTCCTTGGTATCACCGGAAACATTATATAGTCAGTCATTTGATAACAAAAGTAATTTTCCTACCAAATTACTAACGATGGTAACAAGAATTGCCCCCCTTAAACAACATCTCATATATACGATAACTTACAATGGTAATAAGGATTTCCGTCTCTAAACAACAGCCCATATATAGTACCATGTATTTCAATGATAACAAAAGTTACTTCCCTTGAATAACATAGGACGCATAGCAAATCTGACTAATAGTAAATAGTGGAACAGGTTTGGTATAGCGTCTTATTCGAGACAAAGTCAAAATAAATGTGGAAACTGAACTTTTCTCCAACTTACTCCACAAAAAGATAAAAAGAAAAATACTAAAATCAGGACAGAATATACAACAGAATCGCAAGCTCGACATCATCATTGTCATTAGTGTGTTAATGATAAAAATAAGATTTGATTTAATTAATTTATTTACTATCATTTTAAATAGATATATCTCAAATAAGTCTTAATTATATGCTAATAGATATTTTAATAAAATCGTAAATCGTACATGCATCGAATGTACTATAGGCCCTATAATCCGACTTACCAATACCATTTACAGGTCATTAACATAGAGCTTAACCGGGGAAATTTCGCCTTGTATTGTCAGGATTACAGATAGATTCTCGGAATGTTTTATTTAAAAGACATGAGCACTAGTTTCGTTATATAACTTGAATACCGAATCAGGTATGATAGTAAGAAGGATAAGTCAAAACAGTATAACTAATTTGGATTTTAGTGAACAGACTTGCGAATATATTTGATGAAATCTGTTGTCTCAATTTTCTCGATACCTACTTCATACATATCGAATCTCATAAAACAACGACAAAGACACATCGAGCTTGTTGAAGTCATTTTCCATTTACTTTCTTCTCATTAAAACACTACGTACCGATTGACAATTCACTAATATAATGTTGTCCCTTATATTATAATCAGGTTAATCAAGGCAGAGGTAGTATAAGGAGGGTTAGGTGGTAAGGTCGAGAGAAGTCGTCATTGGTGTTGACAGGAAATATTTCTGTGTAAAATTGAAGCCAGTCTGGAAACATCTCATGCAAGTGTTTTGATAAATATTCTATTGTTAAGTGTTAACTAAGTAAGCTATTCGATCTCACTGCTGAAAAGGCATTTACTATATTCTATATAAGACCAACGTATTTTGAATTGACATTATAATCGAAACACATTAACTGTGAGTTTGCTGAATAATTGCCTTTTAGCAAACAAATAACTGTTTACATAGTCACGTTATCTACGCTTTTGTCTCTGGTAAAGGAAAGGGGTTAGAGTGGTTCGAGAAATGCATGTGGATGAAGTCTGTTGGAAAGTTTTTTGGTCATCATAATGATTCCATTTGTAAATTTTCACTTTCCTAGCGCTATAGGAAGTAAAATGCGTTCGGTGCTCATTTCGAGAACATGACATTAAATTACCTAGATGTACATGTCATTATTGAAACAAAAGACAGGTAGCCTCCAGAAACATACCTTATCATATTTTTACTATTTCTACTCCGAGTATAACTCTCCTTCTTAAAGACATTTCTTTTGTAAATTTTTAATCAATTTTAAGTTTTAATTATAAATTTCAAGACATGACGCCAGTTAAATGATGTAAATTTTGCTTTGCGACTTAGTGCATTAAAATAAAAGATAAATAAAACATTATGTGTTTAGATGATACTATGTAGACGTAGAGAAGTAAAGATCTCGATATATTACGTGTGATTAGTTTTACGAGATCGACATAATCAAACTTTTTTGTCCAGTTGGTCGTTATAAACAATGTAGCGATGTTTCATTTATGTATCAAAGAAATGTTATTTTGTATTCATTGTCACTTTTATCATATTCTTTTTTAACCTGAAACATCTTCCTCTGGTTTATGACTTAATATTGAATTCCTCGCGAATTACAGACGGATAAACGAAAGTAAACTGTTAGACGACAATAACAAGTAGTACAAACACGACCTCATTTTAAACTTAAAATCGCTGCAACTGTAGCAGATATCAACTATAATAACACGAACACTCTATAGGTAACAATAGCATTATACTGAATCGATAGCGATTTCTGAGTCAAATCTAAATGATTGTTACATCTTATTTAGCCAGAGACTCCAACCAAATATGAACATAGATGGTGATAAACCCATGAATATTTACTAAATGATGGCTATGTGGAAAAGAAGTTTAAAAAAAATTGTTAAAATATTGACATCCTGTGAACTGTCAGGACGATGTATGGACGGGCGTCCAGGTGGACACCTACTTGAACACAGAAGAATATGCCTTAAATCTCGATGAAACTACATGTAATGAAAAATATCGTGAAAAAGTTTTAAGTCCTAACTCTTATGCAAATACAAAGGTAAAAATATGGTCAGATGTTATATATCTAATATGGTGCCATGAAGATGATCAGACTTTCTTCTGATGAAGGAGTTTTTTAGAGTTTACATAATACTATCACCTTGCGGAGTCTTCTCACCAAGGTCTGAAAACAACATTCAGCTACTGTCGTAATCGGATTTTTAAAATTCTGTACTTCGCTCAATATGTTCCATAAACATTCCCTACTTGATACAATCTATAAAACGCAGGCATGAATAGAAATTAATCAATCTGGTAACGATTTTAGTCGATCTAAGTCACGACCTAGAAAGGCCAGAATATTTGGTAATCGGGTTATCAAGTTTAAAACCCTCAAATACATACGGTGCAGGATATGGAGCCTACAATGGGTTGTTTTGTGTGAGACAACTTGTAAACCATTTCACGGTAGATTCACATTGCTTGAATATATATCAAGTAGCAAAACCTTTGAAATAATCATTAAAATAAATGAGTTTATCTCCCTTTATCAAGTTTTTCCGTTATTCATACGTATCGTAAATTGACAAAACCAATAACTGTATCATGTTTTATTACTTAAAGAGAGGATACAACTTGATGAAAACTAGGTATTCAAGCTGCAAAATTCTTTTACAAACTAATAAGTTCTTTTACAGGCAATATATTCTCTATTTGAATGTTTATTAATTTAATTATTTATTTTGTTAGGTCTTTTGCACCGTAAACAGTTACAAACATTTTGAGTCGGGGTGTCATTGAAATAGCTGTTTGTTACCCTGGTGAACGAGGAAGTCACATGCCATCCAAGGCAAAATAGGGCGAAGTGTCTTGACCCACCACCACAGCATAGGTCGGTCTGTAGTAGCAAATACAAGTTAATTCGGGTAAGGATCGAACTACATACCGTCGATTTCAGCCTAAGATTGGAAAGTATTATGGTCTCCTGACTGCGTTATCCCCTGCCCCTTCCTCTCCACCCTAATCTCGATCTAAGTAAAATTGTTCTTAGCAAAGAACTTAAATGCACTTAGAGTCTTTCGAATATCAAACACGAACGATGTTCTTACGAACTTATAATTCAAGATGACAAAATTCATAAATAAGCTCAAAAGCATTTTTCCCGGAAAGAGAGACGCTATCAAAAAGAAAACACAATGACTGGGTAAGCTACATGATTAATCTATAAATGGGTATGAAAAACATATACGTGTCGTTCTGTATTACCTTTACAATGTATCTGGATATACAATGAAAAAAATCAAAACAAAGAAAATATCTCTATGTTAATATAATATATATAAATTCTCTGAGCTATTAGGCAAAGTAATGACAATAGAAAGATTTACATGGGGACATGAATAACAAGACCATATGTTTTGGAAGGTGGTGCGTCTTCTACTTCAAAGACGGCATCCGCAACGTGAAACCTTGGTCAATTCAGGTAAGTAATGACACGTTCTCAAATAAGAACAAGATAAACAACAACAGAATCAGTAGGCATATTGTCGAGCATCAAAAACGTCCAGCTTCATATTGCACAAAAATTAGAACAGAAATAAAATATTGAGATCAATACGACGACCGTATTATTTGCATTAAAAATCTGAGTTACATTCTGCCAGTTGACGATATCTTGCACGGAAATCGTGATATAGTGACCAACTTTGATAAGGTTTTCACTAAATGCAAACTCCCATAAAAAAACAATCAGGGCAAACAAGCTATAAAGCATGCTCTTACCTTAAAGATACCTTCGACAAGTATCATAGTACATGTATTATCAACATTGACGTCATCACTAAAATTAGAATCAATCGCAGACATGATTTTGACATTAATAGCCAACTTATATGTAAGGTGGATATTATCAAAATAATTAGAATCGATCTTACTGATACTTTAACCAGAAGTGGGCATTGAAATAGAAATCAAGTGTTTTGATTGAGATGTACAGGTAAAATGAAGTGTCAACACGTCCTCAATGTATCGTAGGTTTGAGAGGTCGTGGTTGTGCCGTGGATTAGGATCGACAATTAGCGGCAGTGTTCCACAGAAGACTATCAGTGTTAAAACTTAAATTGCTCAGAATGTATAGGAAAATTAAAATAATGACACTACATTAAAACCCAAGGTCACGTAATGGTATCATGTTTTATAATGGCAAAGATTTTTTTCAAAATATTGCGCACGTCATTGCAGGACTTGAAGATAAAATGTTATCCTGAAGAACTTCGATGGCTAATGCCAGCTTATTTTTATGACTATGTTCTTACAATTATTCTTTCGAATTCAAGGTTGCTTATAGTGAGACTGTTTATTTCGTTTTATCACAATTAGAGAATTCTTTTTCAAGAAAGTTGAACGGCGGTACAAACATATGTGAATGAAATCAATATTCCTGTATGGTCAACATATGATATT